AAGTTCTGCGACCACGCCAAGGGGAAGCTCCGAAACGTGCACTTCCAGCAGCATGTCTATCCTCACGTTCGAATCTATGCCCGCAATGCTGAACCTGCCGCTGCTAACACCGGCATCTGCGGAATTCAGACCTCACCAAGAGAAAGGTAAACCGACCAGCAAAAGCACGCAATCACAATTTAGCACATGTCCAGGCATACAGTCAACAAGCAAGAATGCGAAACTGCGAGGAACAAGGCGAACATATCCCAGTATGTGAAAGCCAAGAACAGCTTTCTCGATCCAACACGGTCGCACACGTGATGTCCTGCCGTTCTGCGGCGCACTCCGGCAAACAGATTTGGTGTCAGGATCAAGACCTGAGGTGCCGCGATGCTAGAACTTCGACCACTATCTGCGGCCCCCTTGGCGAATTATGGTCCTTTACAAACACTAGCAAAGCGAAAAGATTCAGGAAGCTGCGTGAATGCCTGTGCGCAAGTGATCGCGTGCCTCTGGAGCTGCTTCTTGAGCTTGAGCTTGAGCTTGAGCTCGAGCTCGAACTTGAGCTTGAGCTCGATCTTGAGCTTGAGCTGCTGGAGCTGCACGATCTGTTTCCTGTTGGGTAGCCCGACCTTCCAGGATCAAAGGGATACGGATAAGATGTTGAAAGTGCTTTGTAAGGTGGAGTAAAACATGCAGCTCAAATTGCGACGATTGCAGTCTTTGCTTCCGGCAATGCACGATCTCCGAGAATTTATCGATCTAACCACCAGTTTTGCGACCAACACCACCTCCACAACCACAGCCTCCACAACCACCATCACCACCATCACCACCACTACTGCACCATCACAGCTTCCCCCACAGAAGTACAAGTCTGCCAGCGTCGACCCCAATCAGTGGAAGGAACACCTAGAGTCCCAAGAACCGCTCCAGGAGCACCCAGACTCCCCAAATCTCCCAAGAGCCACGACTGGCAGTCCAGAACATGCAATGAGGCGAAATCAAGCCTCACACCCAAAGTGCGCGCGGACTGTGGCAGGAGCATGACTCAGAACGGAGGGATTTCGAGACCACACCAAGGAGTAGAGCGTTGCCCTTCTACTTCCAGAGCCTTAAATTTTGAAGCAACAATGAAGGGAATAATCCGGCCCTGCCCTAGCTGGCACCGGAGACACCGCATACCAATACTCGCCCCGCCACAGTAGGTTTCGCTAAGACGTCGACTGGAGTCTAAGGCATCACCCGGAATCACAGACTCCTGGCAATTCACTATCATTTACTTCCTGTGATGCAAGAAGCAAGTCAGTATGAACGTCTACGCATGCAGTCCACGGCTAAGCTCAACCCACCGCCTCAAAGGTGCCGTGTATCCGGCTGCGCGTGTAGTTGGTGCTTGGAGTGGTTGAGAAGTCTGCAGCAGAATCCACATCGATGGGCAAATGAACGAGTACAAGCTGCATGAACAGTGTGGACTCTTGTTGTGATAGAAGTATGTTACGGCAGCACCCTCGACGCTGGATGACTACACTCAACCGCATGCCCTGCCTGGGGGAGGCCCTGTCCCGCAACCCTCCAGACCTTCGGAGTGCAACAACTGAACATCTGAAGAATCTGAAGGCCTGGTGATTCTAATGGCATGGTCAATCACGTTTTTTCGGCCTCAGGATCCTGTGCTGCAGGTGGACAGGCGTGAATTCCCCCGTGACGCATTGCCTTGTGCGTTGCCCTGCCACATCAGAAGAGGGCAAAATCAGCACTAGCTGCCAGCGCCTACCCGCCTTTCGAGCTTATCTGCAGCCTTTACGAAGTGACGATGGCCGCAGCTGACCAGGAAGTCGATGACCTGTTCGCGCGTTTAGAGGCCTGAGGAGTTTCTCCCGAGTGTTAGCGCCCGGGCTGCAGGCCTGTCCAGCCTGACCCTGATTGGACTCGGTGTGTTCGCGGACCGTCGCCTCCATGCGACTTAGACAAAGTCGCTCTTTGTTGCACCAGCAGGTGGCCTCTGTCAGGCACTCGCCCCATGGTCCTGCCAGAAAACCAGCCTCCGAATGTGACACTTCTGATGCCACGCCAGACAAAGCGCTGTCAAGCAGCGATCCAACTGCTACTGTATGATGCATCTGCACTTCATGTAGCAGCAGCATTGCTGGCCGTCTTGATTCAGCCCATTGAACAGCATGCATATCCGACCACACAATGTCAGCTGCAATGGTGCTTGCCTCATCCATGGAGGGTGATGTTGTGCAGAGTACATCCCTCCAAGATGCACCGCCCGCGGCCGATTGGCACCGCAGGAATGCCATGTGAGGCCCACGATGTGCATCCACGTGCACAGGACGGGAAGTTAACAGATGTACACGTTTCTGGCTTTAGGCTTTCAAGCGCCTTGTTTCCGGTGTTGCGCCGACTGGTGAAGCTTCTTCAGCTAAATCTGAATTGCAAGCCGAAGTCTGCTATCGAGACGTGATTACATCGCTGTGCGACAACGTGCACATCGAGCAAAGCAACGCTTCGGGCGAGTCTACATGAGCGATGTCTACATGAAAACAGGAAGGTACACGATTGCCACGGATGCGGCTTTGCAGATGCTCCTGGTCACGCCAGAGAACTCCTCGACAGGCTTCCGCACACTCACAAATCAATGTGTGTCGTTAACCCAGTCAGAAGCAATCAAATTTTCTGCATGTACGAGGCTGGCGTCCTTGAGCAACAGGTTCGACACCCAAGCATCCACAAACAGGAATGCGACAACCTCAATTCGGAACATCCAAGGACATGTCCTTCGTACGTGGACACCACCGCACTAGGACCGCGCACATGCAGACTGGGACATCGTACAACTGCAGGCGCTGAAGGAACAGTCTTGATTCGAAAAGGAGACTTCACATGCGCGATAGCAAAACCCAGCACACAATTCCGGGGAGTTGGTCAAGTTTATGCAGAAGTCCAGCCCGGGGGGGTTCCTCTCATGAGTCACGCAGAGACTCCTTGCTGGCTTTGCATGGTGTTTCCTACCCTGCCACCCAACACCGCAACCTAGTCCAACCGCTTACGAAACCTACCTTGGATTCAGCACTGGCACGAACACGAAAGACAGATGATGCTACGTTCTCTGGATTCTGTGATACGCCAGCACAAGGCTCTTGTGAGGTACGGCCTGCTCCGTCTCGTGCGGATCAACTTACCAGCCCCACGGTCTGACTATGGATTCCGCAAGTAGCGACCACGTCAGAGTTTCTGACGATACGATCGCTCACCCACCGCCAAGCACATGGAGATCCAGCCTGCACAGCCAAAGGACCGCAACCGAGTCCCCCTGAGGCTTGTTCGGGAGGGCGGGAAGGCATGTGTTCACCGCTCCTGCCTCGAGCCGACTCCTGTTCTCCAAGAGTGAACCCAAATACACCAGCTTCAAGACCTTGCCTAATCCCTCCCCCCAAACATTAAACCGGGGGTGGGCCCCGCCCCCAACAAAAACTCAGAAAGCGTTTTTATTATTAGGGGGTATGTTTATCTCTACTGCTACTTTTGAGGGGTCGTGCTCTTGCTCCTGCTCTGGCCCTTTCTCCCGCGCTGGCTTTCGCTCCTGCTTCTGCTGCGTCTCTTGCGCCTGCTCCTGCTGCTTTTGCTGTTGCTCCTGCTCTTGCTCTTACTCCCGCTCTTGCTTTTGCTTTGCTCTTGCTGATGCTCCCGCTTTTGCTCT